GGTCATATGATAGCTCCATTTATAGTAGTTTGAGGAACACATAGCTGTCCATAGTGGTTGACCAGTTTGCATTCCCACCAGCAGTGGGAGAGTTCCTTTTTCTCCATGTCTTCACATTTGTTGCTACTTTTTTTTTTTTAAATATGTGCCATTCTTTTTGGTATAAAATTACTACTTCATATCTCATTGTGATTTTGATTTGCATTTCCCTGATTATAAGTGATGAAAAATATTTTCATGTGCATTTCCTCTTTGGAAAAGCTCTGCCCTTTTCTTTACTTGATTATTTACGTTGTTTTGTTGAATTGTATGAATTCTTTGTAGATCTTTGGGTTCAACCCTTATCAATTGTATGGAGTGCAAAATTTCTCCCAATCAGTAGTGTGTCTTTGTTTTGGTTAATGTCTCTTCTGCTATACAGAACCTTTTTAGTTTGATGTAATCCTAGCTGTTTATCTTTTCCTTCACTTTCCTTGCTTTGGAGGATGAGTTTCTCAAAAATGTTTTGGAGATTTATGTCATGTTTACACATATTTTCTTCTATATATTTTGTGGTCTCAGTTCTTATGCTCAATTTTTTGATCCATTTAAGTTGACTTTTTGTGCATGAGCATTTTCCCAGCACTATTATTGAACAAACTGACCTTGTTATATTGCCTATTTTTTGCTTCTTTGTCAAAGATTATTTGTCCATATAGGTATGACTTTTATTTCTGAGCTTTCTATTTGATTCCATTGTTCTGTATGCCTGTTTTTGTTTCAGTAATGTACTATTTTAATTATTATGACTCAGTAGTATACTTTGAAACCTGGGAATGTGATGGCTCCATTCTCCTTTTTATTCAGGAGAGCTTTGGCTATTGGAGGTTTTCTGTGGTTCCATATTAATTTTATCAATAATAGTTCTATTTCTTTGAAGTTTGTGTTGAGGTTTTATTCAAATTATATTGAGTCTGTAAATTGCTTCTAGTAGGATGGTCATTTTAATAGTGATATTTTTTAAAAATCCATGAGCAGTGCCTGTCTCATAAAATTATTACTTTTTGTCCTCTATTTTAAAAATATTTTATAAATTTCTTTGTATAGGTCACTCACCTCTTTGTGAGGTTTATTCTTAGGTATTTTTTAAATTTTGTTTCAATTAAATGTGCAATAGTTTTCTTAATTTCTTTTTCAGGTTGATGATATTGTCTGCAAATAGTGATAATTTCACTTCTTTTTCTATTTGAAATTTTTTGTTTGTCTTACTGCTCTGACTTGGAATTCATTTAAACTATGTTCCTTCTATCCCAAGTATCTTGAGGGCCATCATCATATATAGATGTGAACTTTGTCAAATGCTTTCTTAGCACCTACTGATATGATAGTATGGTTTTTATTTTTGTTTTGTTGGTGTATTTTATTACATTAATTAATTTTTGGATGTTGAACCACCTGTACCCCTGGAATAAATCCCACTTGGTCTTAGTGTATTACCTTTGATACATTGTTGAATTCTGTTGGCTAGGACTTTGTTGAAGACTTTTACATCAGTATTCTGTAGGCAGATTATGCTGGATCTCACTGCTAAACTTTGCTGGGACCTCCTTTGTAGTTTTCATTTTTTGTGTTGTCTTTGATTGCTTTTCCCAGGTTTCTTTATAGTTTCTCCATTAATATTTTATATTTTTAATATCTTGTGTTTCTTTTATTTCCTTCTTTAAAGACTTAGTTTGTGCTCCAGTCAGATCATTCTTTTCCTTGTCATCATCTTTATGTTTTCTAGTCATAGTGATCCTAAATTCTCTGTCAAGCAGATAATTTTGTCTAGCAGACAAATTCTTCCATGTTATTGTTGAATTCTAGGGGCTGACTTTTTTTAGTTGTTGTGGTGTGTCATTCCCCAGATAGTTTGCTTGGTTATTTGTATTTTTCCTTCTCGTTGTTGTTTGTTTTCAAATTTGTTAAATTTGCTAGGCCACTGTGATACTGTTACTATCAGGCATAGCTTGGGGTACCCCTACTGGGAGATGAGACTGCTGGCCAGGGTGAGTCCACTACTTTGATACCAGACTTCCCAGCGACTCTGATGCTGTGGATGGGTTGATACCCTAAAGATCACTGAGTCTGTGTATGCTGCTAGTCCCCTACATGTGCTTCTTAACCTGCAATGCCAGGCATGGTCTATTCATGCAGCAGGGGTTCACACAGACTCTAACACTGTGTTTGAGCTAAAACATACTCTCCCAAGTAGTTGCAGTTACAGATAGGGAGCATAGGTGCATGGGGGTCACCAGCTTCCCAGTCATGTGCCAGCTAAAGGGCACAGTGCTGGATCTCACTGCTAACCTTTGTTTGCTGGAGCCTCCTTTGGCTTTTACTTGGATCCAGAGGGCTACTTGGTGGTCACTGTTTATGGGTGCCCTCCCTCTGCTATTACTCAGTTCCAGAAGGGGTGTTCAGGAAGTTTCTGGCCTCCATCAGTCTTGCAGATAATCTCTTGACTTTCTGGGACAGCTGCTCACCATTGTCTATATAGCCCTCCCTTTACCCCAGCTCAGTTCCAGAAGTGGAACGTGGGGCCACCAGCCTCTCACATGCAGGCCACAACTTTCTGGGATTAGCTGATCACCTTGTTTGTAGAGCCTTCCTTCTGCCTTCACTCAGTTCTAGTAGAGGAAGGGGGAGGAGGGAGGTGCAGGCTCACCAGTCTCCAATAGCCCCACAGGCAGAGCCTGGATTTCCTGGGACTGACTGTTGACTTTTGGTAGTGGAATCCTCTCTCTGCCTTCACTCAATTTGAAAGGAGAACCCAAGGTTGCCAGCCTCCAATAAATAACTTTACAGGCAGGCCACAATCTCATGGGACTAGCAGCTCACCTTTGTTCTATATACCTTTATCCTAGGTTAATAAATCACTTCTCATTTCTACAGATGATGGAGTTTCAACAACTACTCTTACAAATCAGGGTTCTTATAAGTGTAATCTGTCACCTGAATTTAGGTTGAGAAAAATCACATGAAAAATTTAAGAAGTAAACTGAAATTACCAGGAAAATAGTATGTGTGTGTATGTATAGTGACCTTTGTAATGTCAGGCATCCATGGGGGGCTTGGAATACATACCTGCCATGGATAAGGAGGGACTACTGTAGTTGAAAAAGTATTCAACTGGGCCTGCCTGGTGACATAAGGGTTTTCAGTGTTACCATGGTTACACTGACCTACATTAGATTCCCGGTCAGGATGCTAACCCACCTGATACAGCATACCTCTCCTGTTTTGCCCACTGTTCCCCTTAGCTGGGTATTTCAGTAGATCTGCCTGTTTTGCTCCCATTCTGTCTGGTGAATCCTTTCACCCCCCCCCCCCTGCACCTTTGGTCTACACCCCAATTCTATGCATAAATCAATTAATTTAAAAAATTACCACTACTTTGCAGCATAAATGTGCAATTGGAGAATAAATTATAGAGATAAGATATAGGGTATGTTATTTTTGCTTTTTCCTTTATTTGTGAAAATTATATAGATACCTTATTCTTGACTCACATAATTTAGTGCAAAGTTTTTCACTAAAAACTAAACCAAAAAGCTAAAAGCCTACAATCCCCTAAATTTGTGGAGACATCAATTATTTGTAAAGCCATTAGTCTTTTTCTTTTTAACTCTTTTTTTTTTTTAAGTAACATTAAATAGGTTTCAGGTATAAACATTTTAAATCAGAATCTGTATATGTTACATTATGGCTACTATCAAGAGTTTAGTTTCTGTCCTTCACTAATATAGAGAACCCCTTTTACCAAATTTATCCATCCCCCTAACATTAACTTTGTAGAACTAGCTTTATAAAGTAATTGATTTTATGACACCAAATCACTTTTTCTCTAGCCAGTGATAGGACTTTAAGTATTGATAAAGTGACTTCTTTGAACATGAATTCTTAATATTTGAAAATTTCCTTGCTTTGACTTCTAAGTAGGAGTCTGACAATGCAGTATAGATTCAGTGGATTCACTTGGAGGCCATCTGCTGAAATGAGGCAAAGAGAAACATTTAACCTGTTAACATAGTTTTGCTGAGGGATCAATTAGGGTGACCTGATTATATTATAAGGAAAAAAATTTTTTTTAAAGATTTATTTATTTATTCATACAGAACTGGGGTACAGGCCAGAGATGCAGAGGGTGAGAGGATTCACCAGGGACAGAGTGGGGAGCAGAACAGGCAGATCGAGGAAGTACACTGCTGAGGGGAGCAGTGGGCAGGTCAGGAGAGGTCTGCCATGCCATGTGGTTCTCCTCCAGGGCAGCGGATATCGAACTCATGCGGAAGTGGCTTAAGCTTCTTAGTGCAGTGCTTTAACCCGCTGCGCCACCAGGGAGGGCCTGAAAACAAATTCTTAGTTAATTAAGCAGGCAGGTTCATTTATTGCTTACATTTATTTTGTGTGTGATGGGATTATAAAAATCTTTGAGAGAAAATGCAATATTTCTCAACCTAATTTCAGATGGAAGGTTTTTCTTACAAGAGTTTTGCTTTTTAAAAGCAATTCCTCAAAGACTAGGAACTATAGGAATGGTTTTTTAAGGGTGTATAATAAGAATGAAACTGAGTATCTAAGTCAGGTATTGGCAACATTTTCAGCAAATCTCCTGATCTCTGTAAAGGGAATTTCAGAAATTGAATGGTTTTATTATTTTTTTTTTTTAAGATTGATTTATTTATGCATGCAAGAACTGGGATCTGGCCAAAAATGCAGATGGTGAGAGAATTTACGAGAGACAAAGTGGAAAGAACAGGCAGATTAACTGAAATACACTGCTGTGGGGAGCAACAGGCAGGTCAGGAAAGGTCTCCTGTGCCATGTGGGCCACATCACATGCTGCAGTAACTTCAGTTAGCTTCACAGTGCTGTGCCACCAGGGAGGACCTGAGACTGAATGGTTTTGAATACAAAAAATATTGTATTTAAAAATAAATCTTCAATTATGGGACTTTGTTTTTCTCTGTTCTAAATAGGTGAACATTATACCCGTGATTGCAAAAGCAGATGCAATTTCTAAAACCGAACTACAGAAGTTTAAGATCAAGCTCATGAGTGAACTAGTCAGCAATGGTGTCCAGATATACCAGTTCCCAACAGATGATGAAACCATTGCTAAAATTAATGCTTCAATGAATGTAAGCTCCTAATTGATTATTGATTCCGTTCTATATGTGGAAAAATTATAGTGTTGCTACTAATATATTTTCTTTCGTTTTTTTTTTTTTTTTTTAAAGATTTGTTTGTGCATACAGAACTAGGGTACAGGCCAGAGGCTCAGGGGCCACGAGAGGCTTCACCAGAGAGAGTGGGGAACAGAACAGGCAGATCGACGAAGTACACTGCTGAAGGGAACAGCGGGTGGGTCAGAAGAGGTCTGCCATGCTGTGTGGTCACCTCTGGGGCAGGCGGGAATCGAACTCATGCAGAAGTGGCTTTAGCTTCTTAGTGCTGTGCTTTAACCGACTGTGCCACCAGGGAGGGCCAACTACTAACATAATTTCACCCATGTCTTCCAAAAAGACTTTAACGGGTATATTTTCCTAAAGTTCAGTGTAGGAATATGGTTGGAAAAACTATGATCAGAAAATGTATTGGGGCATCTCCTCTTCTCTCTCTTCCTCATGCACTTTCCCCCTTCCCCCTTGCCTAAATAAAGTAATGACATTTGTGAGATTGAGATACATCTTTTGTGGAAGTAACTGCTCTAGAAAGATGCCTTTCTATCCCATCTTTAAAAACATAACCCTATCCTGTAGAGTTCTATGCTTTAGAATTTTAAAATCTATTTGATGATGTCTGTTTTCTTTGTTACTTTCTGCTATTAAATTTCTTAAATATCTTTATATTTTCAAGTGCCCTAGGTCTTGACATCAGACAGACATACCTATATGATTTGTGAAGAGTTATAATCCCCTTAAAACTTTTACCGATTAAAAAATAGGATAATATTTAAGGGAAATATTTAAGGGTTGTTGTGAGGATATGATCTTCGTTCACTGCTTCACTCAACAGTAACTGTTCATATTATTCCTCTTTTCCTTTTCTGATTTTTTTGTTTGCAATTTTTATTAAGATACCTATGCTAAATCTATAGAAAACTAATGTAAACAAAGTATCTTAATTTCTGTATTGAATTGTCTTTAGATCTAATATTTCTTATTCCCACCTGGGAAATAATTTTTCAGTAGGTACAATAATAATGTCGTTATTAAATATTGAAATGGTACTTTTATATGTTAGACTGTATTAACCCTCAGCGCCAGACAAACTGATTTCACTGCCCCTTGAATCTAGCTTTCATTAAAATCTTTAACTTGTTCCTTCTACTCTGCACTGTCTCCAGTTTGGATTGTATTTTCCTGCCTATACAGATTGCTCACTTCTCTAAAATCCTCTAAAATTTATTGTATTGAGCATTTATTTGGGACTACATAATTGTGTTAATAACATATATCTATGCCACACAGTAAATAGGATATACATTTTAGTTCATTTTATGTGTACATGAATGTGTATAATTTCTTTGTTCTCTTTTAGAACAAAGATACTTTTGAAGGAAATGATAATTTTCTTTGTTATTACTGTAGCATAATACTTTATGTGTGGGGAATGCTGAGTTTTTTTCATAGGGCTGAAAATGGTTCTTGTAGACCCATTGTATATATCACCGCCAAGCTCTGAACATCTGACACACAACAGATCATTTGATTTTTGACAATTTTTGACATTTAATAAATATTTATGTACTATTCTCCATTTTCATTAAAATCTTTCTCATCATTAATCACATAGGTGTGAAATGTGACAGATATCCTGGTTTCTTTGCAGGAACATTTGCCATTTGCTGTAATAGGAAGTATGGATGAGGTAAAAGTTGGAAATAAAATGGTCAAAGCTCGCCAGTACCCCTGGGGTATTGTACAAGGTAAATGAGATAAGTGATATCTAAAAGTACATACATTGTCCGGTACTCTGAAAGTTACATTTAACGCTTTCCTTGAAGTGATGCTTACTTTGGTTTATGATTGGTTGTGTTCTGTTTTAGCTAAGTCTTTAAAGACACACTTCTACATTTCTTATATAGCACATTGGCTACCCAGGTGTACTAAGAAAGGTGAGAAGCACTGGTCCGATACTTTGAATATAATTTGACTGTAAATAGTAGTGCTTCAATAATGCATAAATTAGTTACTAACTCTGCAACACCATACCCCTTCTTGAGAGCTAGTTTTTTCCTCATCAGAATATTGCCAATTATTATTCCAAAATAGTATAATCAGACAACTAAAAAAATTTTAGGATTGTATCTCTATTACTATAATAAGTACAATTGACCCTCCAGATCTATGAGCTGCATCTGTAAACTCCACCAACTATGGCTGAAAAATGTATACTATATATTTAGGCCTATCATATACTGAAAGTGTACAGACATTTTGTCATTCTTCTAAACAGTACAACAGCTGTTGTATTAGGCATTATAAGTAATCTAGAAATGATATAGAGTATACCAGAGGATACTGTACCATTTCATATGAGGAACTTGTGTATCCATGGATTTTTAGTCCAGAAACTGATCCTAAGGGCCAGCTGTAATTAGTATAATCTGATTCATTTACTTGAGATGCTAATTAACAGGGACAGGATTACCCCTATTAGTACAAGTTGCCAGACATTTCTTTTGAATTGACATTTTATAAACAATGAAAAATAATAGCAATTTAAACATTTCTAATGTATAAAATATATAGGAATATATATTGCAAAAATTGTATGGTTATAGTAACATGTATGTAGATGCAAAAATTGATGGTTACAGTAACATGTTTTTGTAGTCCTTGTACAATAAATATAGTAAAAAACATCTAAATTTACTCACTAATTTTGAAGTCTAACACAATCTTAATTGTAGCATATTATAAGAGTTTGATAGATGGTATCTTGAATATGCAAATTTACTATTTTAAATCTAGTGAAGTAAATTTTTTTTATACTTTTTTAAGATTTATTTATTCGTGCATACAGAACTGGGGTACAGGCCAGAGTTGCAGGGGTGGTCAGAGGCTTCACCAGAGACAGAATGGGGAGCAGAACAGACAGATCAACTAAGCATACTGCTGATGGGAGCAGCGAGGTGTCAGGAGAGGTCTGCCACGCCTTGTGGTCACCTCCCGGGGCAGGGATCAAACTCTTGCTGAAGTGGCTTTAGCTTCTTAGTGCGGTGCTTTAATCTGCTGCACCACCAGGGAGAGCCAATTTTATATACCCTTTTTAAAAATGTTGCACAAACTGTCCTGAGTGTAGTTTTCTAAGCTCCTAAACCAAAATGTTGAAACTGGACCACTTTCTTATGTACTATATTTCTCCCAGTTTCCTGTTTATCTAATATCTAACAAATAATAAATGGAAATCTTCCAATCTATTAATTAACATTGCCTATAAAACAGTGTGTATAATGCAAGATTAATTTCCTTATTGTATAAGACAATCATAGCAGTTTAGTCAGACTTGTCATTTCATTGTTTTGTTATTTCAAATGTGTGAATTCAAGAAATTCTTCTTTTTTTTTAATAGTTTATTTTTATATTATTTTGTGCATTTTTCCATCTCAGTTGTAATCCGCATGGGCTTCCTATCACAAAATCACCCATATGCCATCACCATAGTCCAGTGCATTTCTCTCCCAACACTGCTTTTGATACCACTCCCCACTCCACCCTTATAAAGTGTCTCCGTTATATAGCTATTCATTATTATTAGTATTTTCTCGCCTGGCCCGTTATACTGTTGCTATTAGCGAAACCATCCAGTATTTTCCCTTTTCTTTATGGCTTGTTTCACTAAGCATGATCTTTCCCAGCTCCATCCATGTTGCTGCAAAAGACGTGTTT